GGCGGGGTCGCTCCCCCGGCCGTGCGGGAGGAGCGGCGCCCAGCCGAGCGTCCTCCGGCACCCGCGGCGTCCCCCGCCGCTGCAGCGGCCCCCTTGCTCGATTTTCGCGTTGTACGTGCCGTAGGTAGGGCTGGGGTGGCAGAGGAGGGTGTAACGAGGTGGCGGATGAGGAGGAACTGAGAGTCTGCAGTACAGGGGGAAAGCCGCAGGAGCCCGGAGGGGGTCGGTGCGCTGAGCCTGGACCTTCAGTGACCGCCCGGGTGATCCCTTTGCGAGTTAACTGTCTTTCTTCCCTTTAGCAGCCAGCAAGTTCTCTGTCAGGGCGCGGGGGTGCGGAAAGTCAGGACAGGATGAGGGGTAGTTCAGCATCCAGCTCAGCTTCTTCATCAGTGACAGATCTGTCCTGCACCCCCTCCAGCAGTAGGTCACAGCTCTTCCTCCCGAGCACAGCAGGAGACTTCAGCTTGAGTGCCAGCTTATCTGCTTGTATGAGGCCTTATGAGGTACCTTCCAGCAGGGCACCCTTCTGGGCTCAGAAAATCTTGGGGCGTGAGCATTATTTTATTTGCTTTGTGAGTCGTTCTTAAGTAGACCTTGCGTCTTCCTTCCAGAATAAAGAGTTAGCTTGAAAATGTCTGAGTTCGTGTGTCCTAGTGGGACTTCCAGCCCACTTTTTGTGTTTTTCCTTGTCTGGGAGTTGAGAGAGAAACGCAGAGTACAGCCTGCCAGCGTAGCAGGATACAAATCATTCTGTTCCACCAGCTGGAGTTACTGTTAGTTTCTGCAATGCTGATTTCTAAGGAGTCCATATCAGGTTTTTACTATGGTAGGCAAACACGGCCTAAAAAAAAGCAACCCTGACACTTAGTGTTTATGATAGAATAAAAGAGATAAGGTAGATAAAAATGGAAAAAGTAATGGTCTCAATATATGGTGACTTAAATGGTTTTATGCACAGTTTTCCTGAGTGGTGATCTGGATGATCAAACTCTCCTTTGCACCCTCCCTCCCTTTCCTTTACGTGGAGAATAACAAACTAGGAAACAAACTTTTATATGCTTTACTTGCTATTACTTCAGATTTTGGGAGATTTCACATCAGTGTTGAGATACGTGCATATTTGGTACATACCAGTCTGTGAAAGAATGAACAGGCTGCGGGTGAATACAAGATGCATCAATTTTTAGAGTTAGGAAATCTGGATCTGCACTATTCCTCCTCACAAAAAACCCCCCAGCCACCAAACACCCACCCAACCCAAAAAACCCTCTATCTTTGATTTCTTAACAGACAGCAAAATCAATAAAAACATCAACAAAAACAATTTGGTGATGGTGGAGGCAAGGTGGTTGGTATTTTTGTCCTTTCTAAGGTCCACTCCTGCAATTTACCCCAAATCAGGTGTTGCTTATGGGAATATCTGCGCATATTCAGCATTCTATAAGAAGACATTCAGCTTGGTTTTCCCGAGTTTAAATCGGTAATACCTAGGGGGAATGTTCAGCGCACTTTTGGCTAGGAGAGGGAAAAGAATTCTGTCATAGCATACCAATTTTGTCTGTGGGACTGCACAGTAAATTGGTCTTAAACGGGAACACGCGCAGGTGTGGTATTGACGCAGTTGTACTGAGGTCACTGTACTGGTACGATTCCTCAGGTGGTTCGAAGCAGTGCAAGATATACTGGGAGAATAACACTCCCTTGTTCCTGCAAAAGAGAATCTACCTAAACGGTTGGACTCGGATAACGATAGTAGGATAGTTCAACTGATGGTAAATTTTTGCAGCGCAGATAAATTTTTTCCCCAGTATTTGTCAGAAACTGTGGAATTGCCATTCTGCATTCTGTTCTTTAAAATTTTTAATACTTTTAAAAAGTGTAACAGTTGTCTTTTTTTTTTCCCCCCGAAAATACTACTTTTAAGCATTAAAGCAGCTTTGAAAGGTTCTGGTGAGTTTTTTGGGTACTTTTTAACTCTTGGAGCTTCTTGAGCTGAGTGTTAATGCCTGCTCTTGCTCAAGGAAGAGAAACGGAATGTCATTTGGAATTTAGCATGCATGTCTGGGATACTTTGTAGAATCAGATTTATTGACCCCTTCACTTTCTTGCTTCATAATCTACCAAGCAAAATAAAATGCTCTGTGCGAATGCTGAGCCTTAGTGCTGCTTGTTTTAGACAAAGCATCGTGCTGAGTAGTGGCGTTGCTAGAGAAAAATCCTAAAGATGTCTAAAGGCTGAGGGTCGTTTTTTCATTTTTTAAATTTAATGTGTATTTAAGCAAGTCCTTAATAGATTGAGTCACATAGTTGTTTCCTGCTCAAATGTAATAAGCCACTTTTGACTTCATTTTGCTATTCTAGGGTGCAGTAGAGCCCATGCAGATTGACGTAGATCCACAAGAAGATCAGCAAAATGCACCTGATATCAACTATGTGGTGGAGAACCCCACTCTGGTATGTGCTGGTTGAGGGCTAGTGGGTTACATTCCTTGGGCATGGCCTCTTCCGTTAAGGTTTTGGAAAAACTCCCTCATTTTACTCCTTGTCAAATTGTTACTTAGAAATTAATAGATAAGAACAGCCTCTTTGGTAGCTCGTCACGTATTGACCTCTACCACACCTTCTGAGATGAAGGAGGAAATGCTGTTTTGTGACTTGCTGCATGCTGCCTGTTTGACGTGGTTTCCATTCTGAAATAGTTTAGTACATCTCTGATTACTTACAGAGACATCATTCCTTTATTTTGAGGCTTGTTCTTTGAGGAGCAAGGCTCAGGTGCTTTAAGTACATAGTTAGGATGGAATTCTTTCATTGTTTGATCCTCTGAGCTGTAGAGTTATAAAAGGCTGTATTTGCTTATATCATTTTCTTCAATTTTTAGTTAGTGGTTTAAGATTTTGTCCAGTTTTTATGTATCAACTCTGTAACAGTGAGAGGTGGGTGTTGCAGAAGAGAGCAAAAATGTTAAGTGGAAAAAGTTAAAGCAACACTAAAATTGCAAAATAAAGCATTCAGTTAGGAAGCTTTGGATCTCACATAACCTCTGAAGCTTTAATTTGTTCCTCTTGTCTCCGTGCCTTATAACAGTTGTCACATGGTTATTCACTGTTTACTGCACAGCCCTCTTTTTTTGTTGTTGGGGATTTTTTTGTGGTTTTGGTTTTTTGGTTGTTTTTTTTTTCAGCATATGACCTGATACCTTGTTTGGTTTCGTTGCATTTCGATTCTGTTCTGAAGCTAGAGTGATGAAGCGATTATGTTGTGACCTTTACGTCTTTGTTATTACTATAGCATCTAAGTGTTCCACAAAAATTAGTGATTTTCTTTTCACCGTAACTGATGTGAAGGACCATAATTCCCCTTTGACATTCAAAGAGCTGAGGAGTAAAGTGAAATTACTCTGATTTCAGGAGTATTGTGCACCATCAGGCATGAAACTGTGGAAGAAAGAATGCTCCTGCCTTTATATTTTTCAAGTTCTGCAGCAAATAAAGCAGGAATCCTAAATACAATTTTTCACTGCACACAGTCCTGTTTCAGTCTCAGAGCAAGATCATTCTTGCACTGAGTCAGGCAACAATCATGTTAGAAAATGCTACTGTGACATCTATAGCGGTATCTTGATTTAGACATACAGGGGTAGGGGAGTCAGACATGACACAGGATGCATATTAAATGTGGACAGGCAGCCTGAGTCTAGTGTCTCCTGCTGCCGGAATGCTTGACTTTGCCCTGAACGTTCTGCTATGGTTGTTTGCATGTGTACTTCTGTCTTTAGGAAATCTCCCTGCGTTGCCGTATCATATCTTTACTAGATGTTTTGCGCTCCTCTTCTCCCCTCCACCCCAAGGCTTAAAAATCTGCTGAGTGTTCAGAACTTAAACCTCAGATCCTTCCTCAAGAGTAAGAGACCCTATTTGTTCTCAAAGGAGATGTTTTAAGAAATTAGTATGAGTAAAAGAATGCAAATTGTCATA